ACAAATAAGTATTGAGTTACTAGTGGACCCCAGGCTCCATTCCAAGTCCTGGATAGGTCGCAGTGAACAAAACATGCCTGTCCCCATGCCCTGCAACCACCTGGGGAGAGTATCCTGGGAGGAGGGCGCTGTGGGCATTGAACCTGGAGGAGGGAGAGCTTGGAGTGTCGGGCGTGCTGACTGCAGGCCGGGGTGACTGAGGGAACGTGCTTGGGGGCAGAGGGGTGAGAGGTGATTCTGGCAAGATTAGGTCCCCCCATGGGCCAAGAGAGGAGAGACCAGTGGCTGCCAGGTCACAGGGACTTGTGGCGCCCCTGCCCCTGCCTCCTCCTCTCCCTGCTGCCCACAGATCATGCTGCTAGAGACAGCCAGACGCTACAACCACGAGACAGAGTGCATCACTTTCCTGAAAGACTTCACCTACAGCAAGGATGACTTCCACCGCGCAGGTGTGGTGGGGAGAGGGCTGGGGGGGGGGGGGGCGGGCCCTTTCCCCCGGGGGGGGGGGGGGGGGGGGGGGGGGGGGGGGGGGGGTGCAGGGCCGTTGCCCCTGGGGAGAGGGCTGGGAGGGTGCAGGGCCGGCGCCCCTGCCGGGCCTCTACTGGTGGCAGACCTCAGGCCATCTCGCTCTTGTCTGAGCCTCTATTTTTTTTACCTCCAAAGTGGAGTGAGCCAGCCTCAAAATGAGACGAGAATGTATTTATTGAGTGCTGAGTCTGTCCGCTGGGATGCAGTGCGGGATGAGACAGAGGGGTGTGTGCTCTCACACCGGGGCATCTTGATAGGAATTAAGAAAAGACACTCCCTCCTTCCCAAACCTGGTGTCACTGGAGGGAGGTTGGATCTCAGTTCATTGTGAAGTACGCAACCTACGCAACTGTACGCGGTAGGTCCCTGCCATCCAAGAGCGCTTACCTGCGGATGTGACCTAGGCAGTGGGCTTCTGGAGGAAGTGCATATGAACTGAGGCCTGAGGGTGAGATGTATTGCCTAGGAAAAGGAAATTGGGGGGTAACAATGCCCACCAGGGAACCCCATGTACCATAAAAGCCTTGTTCTCCCTCAGGCTCGGGCTTCACTCTGTGAGTCCAACTCTCCCCCATCATCTCTTCCCGGGGCACCTCTGTATTTTCCTAACCCCATATTCTTCCTTTCCTCTAGCCGCTGGCCCCCCCAGTCCCCTTTGAATATGAGTGTGGCAGGGGAGCACCGAGCGGGGAGAATGTTTCTGGCGGTGGGCTCAGCACATACAAAGGCCCTGAGGTGGGGGAAGAGCTGGATGATGTTAAGGAACTACAAGGAGGTCCAGGCATCGGGAACACAGGGAGATGAGGCTGGAGAGGAGGTTGGGGTCCTACCGCTTCCCCCCCATCCTCTGCCATTGTCCTCCAGTGCCTCTCCCTGGAACACTGTCGGGGCCCCTCACTGGGTTCTCCCAAGTGTGTCTGTTCATACAGCGGTCGGTCGGAAGGGTCGTATTCATAGTTAGCTCACGTCCCTCCTCTTGCTCGCTACCCCTGCATGGCTCCCGTCTCACTGGGAGAAAAGCCAGAGTCCTTGCCATTTTTCACAGGCTCCGAGGGGCCTCTCCACCCCCAGCTCCCTTTGTTCACCCTCCTCCAGCCACACTGGTCTCCTCCCTCTTACTTGAACCCACCAAACATGCTCCCGCCTCAGGCTTTTGCAGTTGCTCAGCCAACATGGGCGACCACCTCCTCCTGGTTTGCATGGGACCTTTGTGGTGTCAACATTTGGAAGCCTCAAGGCCCAGAAAGCTGCCCAGTCCTGGGAAAAACAGACAGGTGGTGCCCACCTGGAACACTCAAAACGTCCCCGTGACTCATCCCCTCCCCTCCTGGTTGTTTCTCAAAGGTCACCCTACCGTGTGGCCTTCCTACAGCGTCACCCTACACACTGGCCACCTTGTCTAAGATGTTGATTTGATTTTCGATGCCCCGATTACCTTTCCTTGTGTTACCTTGATCCGGCTCACAGACCGGATGGTTTAGTTACACGTTTGTCTGTTGTGTTCCCTCAGCCCCCAAGTGCAAGTTCCGCAGGAGGGGAGGCTGTGTCTTCTAAACAGCTCTGCCCCGGGGCCTGCCACATAGTAGGTGCTCAACAGAGTCTGAAAAACAAATGAAGGAACTACTCCTGGGGATGAGTTCAGGCCTTACTCCGTGAACATTGGAAGCCACCACAGGGGTGACGCAGTGTGACCTAGGTTTAAAAATCTTTCTTTTTCGTTAGGAGAGAACCGGGGAGGCCGGGAAGGAGGTGAAGGCAGTGATGAGGCCGCAGGAACTACTGAATAAATGTTCACATTCATTACTCATCCCTTTATTCAGGCAGGGGTTAGGGTGCACTTCCCCGTGCCAGCCACTCGGATGGGGACACAGCTGAACAGAAATGACCAGAAGGCTAGCATTGCTGCCGTGTCCCTCACCCCGCTGATAGCAGCGTCAGGGACCCGGGCTGGGGCCAGTTCGGGGCTGGGGGAGCTCATCCGGCCCCGCCTCCTGCCCCCCCAGGCCTGCAGGTGGAGTTCATCAACCCCATCTTCGAGTTCTCCCGGGCCATGCGGCGGCTGGGCCTGGACGACGCGGAGTACGCCCTCCTCATCGCCATCAACATCTTCTCCGCTGACCGGCCCAACGTGCAGGAGCCGAGCCGCGTGGAGGCCCTACAGCAGCCGTACGTGGAGGCCCTGCTTTCCTATACGCGCATCAAAAGGCCGCAGGTACGGGAGCCCACCCCTCCCAGGGCCCTGGCGGGGACAGGCAGTCCAGGCCCCACGTGGGGTCCGCCGTGGGCTGAGGTCTTGCCTCCTCATCAGAGCCGGGCCCTGTCTGCTGCCCCCACTGCCCGGCTCCTCTGGCAGCGCCCTGAGCCCTGGCCGGTGTCCTCTTGGCCAAGTCTGTCCTCGGGCCTCTGTCCCGTGACTAAGGATCCAGGCCCAGTGCAGGCATAGGGGTGGGGCTCCCCACGCTCTGCCCGGCCCCTGCCTACACCGGTGGTCCGGCTGGCTGACCAGAGCCCACCTCCCTCCTGCCCCCCCCCCCTCCCCGCAGGACCAGCTGCGCTTCCCCCGGATGCTGATGAAGCTTGTGAGCCTGCGCACGCTGAGCTCTGTGCACTCAGAGCAGGTCTTTGCCCTGCGGCTCCAAGACAAGAAACTGCCGCCTCTGCTGTCTGAGATCTGGGATGTCCACGAGTGAGGGGCCTGGCCGCCCTGCCCCACAGCCCTGTACCCTCCAACGCATGGACGTTGTCGCCCCTTCCTCCTCCTGGAGTGGGAAGGAGCCAGGCCTGGGGTCCCATCTTGTGGCTTATAGCACAAGCCCTGGCCCCACCAGCCCTCAGCCCTCGGGTGAGCCCCCATTAGGGTCCAGGAGGCTCCCGCCCTGCCCACTGAGTCTTCCTGGGAGGGCTGGGTGGGTCCTAGATCCCAACCTCTGACCCTCCTAGCACTACCGGCTGCCCTCCCCACCCAGCTTACACCTCAAGCTCACTGCGCAGTGCACCTTGAACAGAGGGAGTGGGGGGCCCGTGGCTCTCCCTGACAGCCTGAGAAACCGCAGGCCCCCTCCCTCTGTTCCTTTTATTTAATAAAAACTAAAAAAAGACAAAAACAGGAAAATAAAGTATGAATAGAAACCTGCCCTGAGCCAGAGTGAGTTCAAGATGTACGGGGGATGGGATCAGCCACCTGAACCTTGTGTTGCTAGGCTGGTGGAGGGTTCAGGGTGATGTGACTGAGTGCGGGGGTGGGGGAGGAAGTGGGGTGTCCAGGAGAGGCTGACGTCCTTGGGGTCATCTTCCTGTACTAGGTGAGTTGGAGACTGCTGAAGGACAAAGAACACTTAAGTGGGTGAAGGGTCAGGCACTCAGTCCCCAAATGTTTCCTGAAGCCACTGGGCAGTGTGCTGGCCCTTCTGGGGATGCAGATGATATTCACGTAACGTGTGTGGGGCGCACTTACTATGTGGCAAACACAATTTTAGGCACTGGAAACACTAGAGAACAAGATAAAGCCCCTCCTGGGAGGTGGCTACCAGTCAGGGCTGGCAAAGGGGGGATGGATGGGGCCAGCTAGCATCGAAGGGAACAGGGGCTTTAATGCAGGCAGCGCGTGGCAGCATGGGAGCCCAGAAGTAGAAGGCAGGCAAGTCCTCACACAGGATATCATGTCCCAGGGGGGAACCTAAACCATGACAAGGGGGCTGGGCCCCCAAATTGAGGGGAGGGCGCATGCCAGGTCTGGGAGGTGGGAGAGTCTGGTGATTTCAGAGTAAGGACGGGCTGTGAACATCTCTTAGTCCCTCCTTCTCCTGTGCCAGGCTCCCAAGGGGTCTCAGAAGTGAGCTGGGTGGACAGTCCTGGCCGAGAGTGAAGGGGGTGTTGCTCGGAGGGATGGGCTGTGTACTGAAAGGTGTGGTTTTTCTTTCGAGCAGCTGGGGGTAAGGTGGGGAAGTGACTAGTTACGAGGAGAAGTCCTGTTGCAAGCAGTGTGCCCGGCGCCCCCAGGTGTGCCCGCCCTGCGCTAAGTCTAGTTTACAGGTAGGGAAACCGAGGCATGAGACAGAGCTGACCGGACCTCCCCTACACGGGGAGGGCAGACGTCAGGTCTTCCGCCAGCGGAAAGAAGGGCCGTGCGCAAGTTGTCCTCTCGCCTGGGCCTTCCGCAGAAAGCAGGCCCGCGAGCCGAGGATACGCGCGATGCCCCCGCGGGCGGGGAGGCGGGGCCGGGAGGACTGCGGGGCCGGCCGCGCCGCCGCGCCGCCGCGCGCAACGAGAGCCGGAATCCGCCGAGCTGTCGTCGGAGGGGGCGTGGCTTAGGAGCAGGCCCCGCTCTCAAGGCGGGGCGGGGTTTGGCGAGAATCTATGGAAAGTAGGAAGAGGCAACATCCTAAATTGGACGGACGGGGCGTGGCCTAGACCCAGTTGAAAGGAGGGGCGTGGCTCGAAGGCTTGTCGGGGCGTGGTCTCGCCCTACTTGGGCGGGAGGGGCGTGGCCCAGGGCGGCGCGCGGCGGCTCTGAGCCTGCGCGCGCCGGAGTCAGGGGTCACAGCGACGTCGGCTGTGGCGGGAAACGCTGTTTGAAGCGGGTGAGTGAGGGGAGAAGGGGGCTTGAAGGGACTCGACTTGGCAGAGAAGGAAGGTGGAGGAGTCGGGCATGTAGGCCTGAGAGAAGGGTTGCGAAGGGGAGCGTGGAGGCGGGAGGGCGCGCGGTAGAGGGGCGAGGGCCAGTGGTTCTGGGCGCGTGCGCGGGGGCGCGCAGGGAGATGATTGGGGCTGGGGGGCCCCTCGGGATGCGGGGGGCTCTTGTGCTGGGCGCCTGGCCCCTGGGGTGAGCTGGGAGATGTACCCTGGAGGATCTTTGGGGCGACGGGATCCCGGACGCAGTGGAAGACTGAATTGGTGCACGTGGTGGCATGCTGATATGCTTTATTCTCTAAATATTGAATACTCCGTGCCAGGCACTGTTCTAGAAGCAGAGGCTACAGCCCGAAAGTCAGAGAAAGTCGTTGGCTCAGGAGAAGACAGTAGACAAGTGATAAATAATAACGATAAAGCAACGCTTTCAGGGTTTGATACCTTATCCGAAGTGAAATAAAACAGGGTAGCCTGTTTCTTTAGCTGGAATAATCAAAAATCCTCTCTCTGGGGAAGTGACATTTGACAGAGCAGTCAGCCATGCAAAGAAAGATTTGGACAGGGGGACCATGAGGTGCAAAGGCCCTGAGGTGGGAAGGAATTTGGCTCCTATTCCAGGTTCCACAGGGAGCCATGGGAGGTTTTGAGCGTCAGAGCAACATGACCCACCCTGCGTTTTGAAAAAGTCCCTGGGTGCTGATTGAAGATGGGATTGTAGTGGGAACAGGAATGCAAGGAGGAAGACCAGTTAGGAGACAAGTGGGGACATTGGCTCAGACCACAGTGCTGTCAGCCTCAGGTTGTCTTCGGGGTTTGAGCCAGCAGGACGCGGGGGTGTAAGGAAGAACTCAGGCGGCTGGGGTATGTGGTTTGGCTGGATGGAGAGAGAAGGCGGAGGCAGAACGGATTCGGGGTGCCACTCTGAGGTGGCAGTGAGTGGGCAGGGTTTAGAGAGAGGCAGGTTGATGATGTCACCTTCTCAGCTTTATAGCCCCACCCAGGCCAGGTTACCTGTCTACCCCCAGCCCTGGCTGCACTTCACCACCCAGGCCTCCTGTCCCGTAGAGACGCTCCTTTCCCACCGAAGGCCTTTGCCACGCTGTTCCTTCTCCTGCGATGCTTTTTCTTCTCTCTTCGGTCCCTTTCACTCAGCTGCTCTCAAGAACAGGCACTTTCCTGGGCACTGGGAAGCCAGTCATAATTCAGTTTGGTTGGGGAGAGGACAGGAGATCTCAATCCAGAGTTCTCTGAGCCAAAACGAGGCAGCACTAGTCTTTGGGAAGTGAGAGAAGCTCCAGGGACTTGGGAAATACTTGGGTCGGTGGCACTCGAGAGGGGTCTAGACTGCCGCACCTTGAAGTGACCTGCGTTCTGAACACCGCGTGAGTGATGCTGGGACCCTAACTTGAGTGAGACTCTGACCCCTGTTTTTTGTTTTTTGTTTTAAGTTTTTAAATTTATTTTGAGAGAAGGAAAGAGAACGTCAAGCAAGCTTTGCGCTGTCAGTACAGAGCCCAACGCAGGGCTTAAACTCACCAACCATAAGATCATGATCTGAGGCTTTTTTTTTCTTTTCTTTCTTTCTTTTTTTTTTTAATTTTAAGATTTTTATTTTTAAGTAATCTCGGTACCCAATGTGGGGGCTCAAACTCACAGCCCCGAGATAAAAAGTCACATGCTCCACCGACTGCGCCAGCTGGGCCCCCAGTGAGGCCTGTTTAAAAAAAAATTTTTTTTTTAAAAAAATCTTTTTTTTTCAACGTTTATTTATTTTTTTTGGGACAGAGAGAGATGGAGCATGAACGGGGGAGGGGCAGAGAGAGAGGGAGACACAGAATCGGAAACAGGCTCCAGGCTCTGAGCCATCAGCCCAGAGCCTGACGCGGGGCTCGAACTCCCGGACCGTGAGATCGTGACCTGGCTGAAGTCGGACGCTTAACCGACTGCGCCACCCAGGTGCCCCCCCAAAAAAAAATTTTTTTTTTAATGTTTATTTATTTTTGAGAGAGAGAGACAGAGCGCGAGTGGGGGAGGGGCAGAGAGAGAGGGGCAGAATCCGAAGCAGGCTCCAGGCTTGGAGCTGTCGGCACATCAGCACAGAGCCCAGTGTGGGGCTCGAACTCATGAACCACGAGATCATGACCTGAGCTGAAGTCAGATGCTCAACCGACGGAGCCACCCAGGCGCCCCGATTTATCTTACTGTCTGTCCCCACAATGCCGAATGAAAACTCTGTGAGAGCAGGGATTCTGTCTCTTCTCCTGCTCTGTCTCATGCGCCCTGAAGAGTGCCTAGGACAGAGGGTGAAGATGGAAGGAACTCACAGAATCTTCACAGAATCTCCTGAGGCAGGTGCTGTTACCCTCCGACGCAATGACTAGAACCAAGGCCCAGAGAGGTGAAGCTGTCTCCCCAGGGTGGCACAGCTAGCTTGGAGGGTTCGGAGGCACATCCCAGAGCCCCATTCTGAGCCAGCACCGCAGACTGCCGGCCTCCAGGGGTGTCTGGCGAGGTACGGGGGTGAACTCTCTACCCAGCGAAGGAGACAGACTGGGGATGGATTCCTCTGCTGGCTCGCCCCTGTACCCTGGCTCACGCACCTAGCGAGGGAAAGGTTAAATAATTGCAGAAGTACCTGTTCCGTCTGCCCCCTCCCCAGAAAACGACCTGCTTTTCGTGCTTTGGCCTCATCCCTCCTCTGGGCCTCCCTGACTCTCACTACCCTTGTGGCAGGCCAGGGACCATCTGGGCCTGTGTCTGACTCCCCTGCCAGACGGGAACCCCTTGAGGTCTGCTGCTTCTCTGCGTCCTCAGCATTGCCCGGCACAGGCTTTGGGAAGTGCGTGCTGGGTGAGACTGCCCCCCTGCTTTTCTCAGCCACCTGACTCCTCTGTCCACAGAGACCCAGCTCCAGTTCAGCTCTTCCAGGAGAGTCGGCGGCCCCCCGGGGCACCCCAGGCAGCTGGTCCTACTTCCCTTACTGTACAGGTGCACCCAACCCAGAACTGCTTCAGAATGTGAGCCCCCCAAAAACAGGGGTCAGGGGGCACCTGAGTGGCTTAGTCGGTTAAGCGTCTGACTCTGGATTTTGGCTCAGGTCTTGATCACACAGTTTTGTGAGTTTGAGCCCCGTGTTGCGCTCTGCACTGGCAGCGCAGAGCCTCCTTGAGATTCTCTCCCTCTCTCTCTCTCTCTCTCTCTCTCTCTGTGCTCACATGCTATCTCTGTCTCTCAAAATAAATCTTAAAAAAATTTTTTTAATAAATTAAAGTTAAAAAAAAAATAAACAGTCCTCGCTGAGAAGGTGACATTCAAGCAAAAACCTAAAGGAGGGGAAGGAGGAAGCCGTGGGGACATCCGGGGAAGAGTAGGGCAGTGGGAACGGCTTGTGCAAAGGTCCTGAGGTAGGACCAAGCCTGGCACGTTCAGGGAAGAGAGAGGAGACAAGTGGCTGGAGCCAAGTGCACAAGGGGGAGAGGGCAGGAGATAGTGTCTAAAAGGGAAGGGGGTGATTACGCAGGGTCTGTGGGCTAGCCGGAGGACTTTGCTTTAGCTCTGCATGAGATGGGACCCAGGGGCCAGTTCCGAGGGGAGGAGGGATGGGATGACCTGGTATATTCGTATGGGATCTCTCTGGTTACTGTGCGAAGAGTACACTGAGGGCTCCTCATTCATTCAACACATCGTTCTCCAGCACCTGCTGTGTACCAGGCTCTGTTGTAGACACCCTCAAATGCTTCAGTGACAGGGCAGACCAGATCCCTGCCGGCGCTGGGCTCAGGTTCCAGCAGGGGGAGACAGACACAAAGCAGTGCACAAAATAATGCTGCCCACAACCTCTGAGAACCAGAGGGGCAAAGCTGGGAGCCCAGCGGGGGCTGGGAAGTGCTGAGACTCCGTCCAGTGGCAGTAGAGCCTATGGGACTGACAGGTGTGTTCTGAGGGGAAGGGAGAAGCTGGGGTGACTCCGAGGTGGTTGGCCTGGTGGGAGTTGCCTCTTCGTGAACTGGGGGAGGCTGTGGGATGCAAGGAGCAGGTCGGGGCAGGGGAAGGCGAGGGGCCCGGCTTTGGAGTGTGAGATGCCTGAAGAGACACATGCTCAGTGAGCAGCTGGGTGGGGCAGGCTGGGGCCTGGGGGGCGGTCTGGGCTGGAGACAGGAAGGGCAGACGTGATCATCGGCATAGAGGTGGCAGTGAAAGCCGTCAGATAGAGATGGGACGAGAACCCCGAAGGAGGGAGTGTCACAGAAACCAGCGGGCACTCAGCGTTGTCTGTTTGCCAGTGAAGGGTCGAGAAAAGGAGAGGGCCCCGTGTTTCCCCAGCTCCTGTCCTGTGCCAGGACACACTGGGGCCTCTTTCCTTCTAATCCTTCCTTGACGCGCCTGGGTGGCTCAGTTGGTTGAGCGTCCGACTTCGGCTCAGGTCACGATCTCACGGTCCGTGAGTTCGAGCCCCGCGTCGGGCTCTGGGCTGATGGCTCAGAGCCTGGAGCCTGCTTCCGATTCTGTGTCTCCCTCTCTCTCTGACCCTCCCCTGTTCATGCTCTGTCTCTGTCTCAAAAATAAATAAACGTTAATCCTTCCTTGCCTATGATGGGGAACTAGCATAGGAACCTCGGTTTTGCCCCCAGAGTCCCCTTCCCTCCCACCACACCCTCCTGGCCACAGCCCGCTGACCTGGGGAGCCAGACTGCCCCCCTCCTGCCTCCCTCTGCCAGGCCAGGGCTGGCCACTGCCCCTCTGCCCCACCCAGGCCTCCCCCCGCAGGTCCGAACTCCGTCTCTCTGGCCGCCTGTATGGCTGGAGCAGAGGCCTCCAGGCTTTTTCCTTCCTGTGGGATAAGCCACTCGTAGGCACAAAAGGAGAGGCCGTACAGGGCCTCCGTCCCTGTACAAAGTGTGTGCGTGCCCGGTCCCAGCAGCGCTATCCACGATAGGCCAAAGGTGCAGAC